ACTAAAAATAAACAAAATTAGCCAGGCATGGTGGCGGGCACCTGTAGTCCAGCCACTCGGAGAGGCTGAGGCAGGGTTGGCCAGGATGGCCTCAATCTCTTGACCTCATGATCCGCCCCCCTCAGCCTCCCAAAGTGCTGGGATTATAGGCGTGACCCACCGTGCCCGGCCGGGATTGATATATTTAAGCCACTTGTTCCAGGTCACATAGTTGGCAGGTGGAGAGCTGGAAGGCACACTCTGCTCTGGCTCCCAGGTCCCTGCTGCACCTGCTGTCCAGGTGGTCTGCAGCCTCCCTGTGTGGGAATGATCTGGGATGCTTGTTAGGATTTCACAAAGAGGAATTTTAAAGGGATATGTTTGCTATCTACAGTTGGTTGTCGTGCAGAGGGGAGATGACCTTTGTTCTGTATATTTGTAGAGGGCTGAACCACACCAGCCAGTGGACTATGCAGAGAAAAGGTTGGAGGCGGGATTTCTGCACACACTTCCTTAGAGTTCACACAAGAAGCATGTGTCCACCTATAGGCTCAGGGAATGCTACCTTCAAGTTGCTGTCAGAGGGAAAGAGCAAGAGAGTACGTCAGTTCATTGGTAGATGGTCAAGGACACCTTCCCAAGAGGAGAAGCCCCAGGCTTGGGCCTCGGCGAAAGCATAGAGGTGCCCAGGTGGAGGTGGGCAGGCATCCCAGGCCACTGAACATAAGGTGACATGAGGCTGAGGTCTTGCAGGACTAGGAACAGTCAGCTGTACCTGAGTGTGTGAGCTTGGGTAGATGTTAGGACTCCTCAGGGGCCACCTGCAGCCACTGGCTGTGAACTGCATGTAGGTAAGGAGCTGCGGTTTGCTCTAATTCTCCTCACATTTCGTATCAGACCGGCCTCTAGCTTTTTAACATCATGTCTGGTGTATCCAGAAGTTATGCCTTGCATGAGACTGGGAAGTGTCACTATGGATATTTGTAGGGAGTTTTTATGAGCCTGTAACAAGTAGCCTACCAGCTGTCTCTCCCTGGATAACTGGGTGCCTCAGCAGGGTCTGGGCCTCCAGATGCTGAGCCCAGCTGCAAGCATCTGACCCTTCTGGAGTACCCCGGAGCCGCAGCCCCTCTCTGTGGCCTGACCAGGCCTGTCTGCTTGTTGCAGTGCAGGCAACCTGGATGGCCTATGACATGGTGGTGATGCGCACCAACCCCACGCTGGCCGAGTCCATGCGTCGGCTGGAGGATGCCTTCGTCAACTGCAAGGAGGAGATGGAGAAGAACTGGCAAGAGCTGCTGCATGAGACCAAGCAAAGACCGTAGGCCCCACTGGCCCACCACAGCTGCCATGCCACCCTCTGCCCGTGAAGAGGTCCCTGGGGGATGGAGCTGGTGCCCACGCGAACAGCTGTATGCGCTGTACTTGTTTCTTAATAAACTTATTTTTAAGCACAGCCTGAGGACCTCTTCTCTCCCATGCCATAATCCACCCAGCTGCATATCAAGCCTTGTGAACAAAACACGACAAGTGCAAGCTGCAGGTGCTTTCGGTGAATTAAAATGTATTTGGTGCCAGTGGTGCTGAATATAGAATAAAAAACAAAAAAAAGAGCCCAGACAGGGACACCCAGGCTGGAGGTTGGAGTGGGCCATAGTCAGATTTATTCACCTTTCTAGCATGGGTTTCAAAGTGCGTAAGGGGAGAAAACACAGCATGGATTGTGCTGTGCGTCCTGGACACCGTGCAAGGTGCTCACAGCTGTGATCTTGTCTCCCACAACTCTCCTGGGCGACAGATGTCCACCGTCCACATTTTACAGACAAGGAGAAAGGGAAGTCAAATGTCCAAGTCCACACAGCTAAAAAGGGGCAGAACTAGGGTGACGCTCAGGCCTCATTTAGAGATGGGGGATTGGTGAGAAGTGGGGTGGGCTTCTGGAAGGGCTGGGAGAGCCCCACAAGGCTGCAGAGGGTGGTGAGCCTGGAGTGAGCCTGGCCTGGTGTGGGCTGGGGGTATGGGTAGCGGCTGCAGACTGCAGGACAACACCAACGGACCCAGTTTCAGAGGCAAGGGTTCTAGGCCCTTGAGAATCCACAGCGCCAAACAGACCCAGATGGCTACAGGGTTGGCACCTGGGGAGGCCTTAGGACAGGCAGAAAGTCCCAGAGGCGAGGGCATTGCCTGGGGACGTTTTTGCTCCCTGTCCTGCTGACAGAGCCTAGGAAGTGTGAACATTTTCTACCCCCTCCTCTCTCGGCTCAGCAGAGCTCCAGCAAGCCAGGTCCTTGTCTGCAGGGACGCATCAGTCCCTGGCTCTAGGGAATGGGGAGTCCCACAGACAGAGGGGTGTGAGCAGGCTGAGTGGGTCTGTAAGCAGGCACAGAATTGAGTCAGGAAACAGTTTGAGTGTGGAGTAAGGGGCAGAAAGAGGCTGAGGGCTCTGGGCTTCAAAATAATTGACAACCTTTAAAGCAGAAGGGGACAGTTGTCCAGAAACAAGAGCAGGAGGTTCCGATCCCAGCCCCTCCCTGAGCCCTGGCCTCTCAGGCCCATCCCAGGAGGGTCTCCCTGCAGAGCCGTGAGGCAGCTTTGGGTCTCTGCCTGCCACTCAGAGTGAGGTCTGCAGCCGGTCCTCAGCGGGCAGAGTCAGGATGAATGGGCTGAGGACCCCTGTGCTCCCCAAGGGGAAGGGCTGCAGCTCCTTGGCCTGGAACTGGGCAGTCCCCCCAGACACGGTGAACGTGGCAGTGACCTGGGGGTTGAGGCAGTAAATGGTGTTACCCAGGGTAGTGCAGCGCAGTGGGGCGGGGGCGGGCAGGGGCAGGGAGGCAGCCCTGCTCCAGGAGCCGGTCACCGTGTTGTAGCGCATCACCGCGGCGCCCACACCCCGCAGTAGGTCGAAACGGTATAAGAAGCCCCCGAGCGCCACGATGTCGCTGGAACGCCGGTGGCTGGCACTGTATGGGCACTCGTCCCAAGCATCCTTCACGGGGCTGTACCTGAGCAGGCGGTAGAAGAGGTGACCCCCTGTGACGTAGATGTCCCCACGGCAGGCCACAGCCTCGTGGGCCACAGGGAAGGTGCCTGCGGGGAGAGGCGCGCGTGGGGTCCAGGCATCTGTACGCGGGTCGTAGCACTCCATGCTGTACAGGCACTCGCCACCGATGGCGTACAGCAGCCCGTCCAGGGCCACCAGCTTGAGCTGGGCTCGAGCCTGCTGCATAGGCCGAACCTGGCTCCAGATGTTGGTCAGAGGGTTGTAGCAGAAGACCTCGTTGGAGCAGACGGCCTTGGCACCGGAGCCACGGATGCCCCCCGCCAGAAACAGGTAGTTGTGCATGGTGCAGAGACCGCAGCCCCGGAGCGGGGCCTCCTCGGGCACCTGGGTCAGGGGCCGCCAGGCGTTCTCCCGGGGGTTGAACACATGCAGGTGCGAACGTAGAGGCAGGGGCACAGGGGCCGCCACAGGAGGCTCCTCGCCACGAGGGCCCCTGGGGAGCCCTGAGCGGCCCCCCTGGTAGAGGCTGGGCAGTACGAGGACACCCAGCACCGCCTGGCCCCGGCCAGTCCGCAGGCTGAGGATGCGCTCGCGGTCGGCTGCGCTCAGCCGGCGGTAGAGGCTCGGATCTCCCAGCACTCGCAGCAGGTTGTTGCTCATCAGCGCGTAGGTCTCCTGCGCCAGGCCGGGCTCCCCGTGCTGCTGGGCAAAGGCCAGCACGTCCAGGCAACTGCCCAGGTCCAGCCGCGCGCGCAGGGCCGCCGCCGTGGTGGGCTCCAGGGCCCGGGAGCTGGGCTTCCGGGGCCCCTCCACCACCCCCCAACTCCCGGGCCTCTGCAGAAACACCAGGAGTTTCCGGGCCTCCTTCTGCTTCTCTGTGAGCGCCCTGCTGCGGCCAGCAGGGCTGCCCCCCTCCCCTGGCGCCTCCCCTGGAGGGTCCCCTGAGGCGACCGGCCTGACCTCCTGCTGCGAGGTCGGGGCGATTTCACACCTGCTGCGTTTCCGTGGCTGGGGTACCGGCTGTGAGCGCCTCACAGAGGAGCAGGCCACGGGGCCAGAGGGCCTCTGTGCAGGGGGCTGTGGGGGGCCCCTGGGCACCGCGGCTTGCGACAGCGAGTCTAGACTTTTCTCCCTGGTTCCCTCTCCTCTTAGGCCTGGGGGAGGGTCTGGGCTGGGCGTTCCGTTGGTCTCGGAGCTTCTTGTCTGTGGCTGACCTCCAGCCTCGACCAGGCCCCCTATACCTGTCCCCATGACTATCCCCACTGAAGAAGAGGGACCATCACTGTCCTCAGAGTGTGTGGAAGTGCTGGGATCCACAGGGCTCCCAGGAACCGCCCTGGGGACACTCCCCTGGGGCCTCTCTTGCCTGGGGAAGGGGTGGCTTCTAAGAACCATGGCAGTAAGGTTTCCCCAGCTGGCTGAGACGTGCCCCTCCTGGTAGCGCCTGGGGACAGCCACACTCTCCTGAGGCTTCGACCCGCCAGCTGGGGCAGGGGATGCAGCTGGGGCAGGGGATGCGGCTGGGGCAGGGGATGCGGCTGGGGCAGGGGATGCGGCTGGGGCAGGAGATGTGGCTGGGGTCAGGGCTGGAGGTGGAGCTGGGGTCAGGGCTGGAGGTGGGGCTGAGGTGAGGGTTGGGACTGGGACTGGGGCTGGGGCTGGAGTTGGGGCTGGAGCTGGAGCTGGGGCTGGAGCGGGGACTGGAGTTGTAGCTGGACTTGGGGCTGGGGCTGGGGTTGAAGTTGGAGCTGAGGTTGGAGCTGGGGTTGGGGCTGAGGTGGGGGATGAGGTTGAGGTGGGGGCTGGGGTCGGTACTGACACTGGGGATGAGGCCAGGGCTGGGGCTAGGACTGAGGTTGGAACTGAAGTTAAGACTTGGGCTGAGGTTGAACTTGGGGCTAGCGCTGCTCTGAGATTTTTGCCCACAGGAGGACCCTGGGTAACTCCCAGGGGCAAAAAATCTGAAGGAGAAGGGGTCGGGAGAGTCAGGGCTTCAGGTGGCAACCCGGGGCTGGGAGCTGCGGGCGGGGAGGCAGAGAGCGCTCCAGGCTCACGGCTCCGGGATGGGGCGCGGCTGCGGAAGGCTGCGGCCGGCTTTGCTTGCTCCAGGGGCCGGGTGCGCCCCAGGTCAGCGGCAGGACTGTGGTCTCGGGGGCCGTCAGCCCCGGCCTGGCCCGCATCGTTGGCCCCTGAGGCCCCCGGCCCTTGGGACGAGAGTGGGCGTCCTAGAGGCGGACTGTCTAGCCAGGGGCGCGTAGAGCCTGGGGCTGGGCCAAAGCTCCGGGTGCCCGGGACCTCCCTGCTGGCCCAGGGCCAGCCTCCTCCGGGGGCAGGGACCCCTGAAGCCTCCCTGCTCCAGCCAACCTCAGCCCCAGAGCCCTCCGTCTGAGACCCAGGCTGCGGGGCGCGGGGCGCGGGCAGCACCGGGGGTGCGGGCTCCTGGGCGAGTGGGGGTCCTGTGGGCAGGCCGCGCGCGTGGGCGTCCAGGGCGGCGGCCTCATCCACCGCGTCCCACACGCTCCCCGCGGCGCCCAGGCGAAGCGGGTCCAGTTTCCGGGGGCGGCGCACTCTGTCTCCCGAGCCAGCGTCCATCCTCCGCCGCCGGCCCCGGCCTCTCCCCAGCGAGCCCGAGGGCCCAGCGCCCGCCCGCCAGGGGCCGGTGTCCTGTTGCCCCGCCGGGCCCGCCGCCTGGCGAGAGGGCGCCTTGACACCACCTGTCTCCGCCTGCGCCTCCGCTTCGCTGCCAGGGCTCCGAGGAGTGAAATGGATCAGGAGGGGGGCGGACATCCCCCCCTCTTCGCTCCTGCCCAGCAGGGCAGTGCCTGGCCTGGGAGGCTCCTTTCCTTCCGCTCGGGGGGCCGTGGGGCTGGCACTGCCCCGTTGTTGTCCTAATGCCCCTCTGCGGGCCTCCTCGACAGCTGTCTTGAGTGGAAGCCGGGCCATGGCGGCCGGGCCCCCGCCCGGGGCTGCAGCAGGGACAGGGCTCCGCTGGCCGCGTCCTGGGGGCTCCGGTTTCCCCTGCCCTGGGCTCTGCCCCTCGCTGCCATCACTAACCTTGGACTTCGGTTGCAGGGCCAGCTCCACTCTTCCTGCCTGATGAGGTTGAGCCCCGAGGGCTGTGGACACTGGTCCTGCCGCCTCTTGGTCGTGCCCAGAGCCAAACCAGTGTAAGGCCAGCGCTGTGGCAGCCACCACAGCCAGTGCCAGGAGGGCCAGCACAGCACTATCCCAGTCATTGTCACTGTCCCAGTCCCAGCCCCAGAGGGGACCGTCTGGCTCTAAGGTGCCCTTGATCATGGTTCAGGGCTGCCACCCGCTGCAAGGGGCCCAATGGCAGGCTGGCAGTGCATACAGAGCACAGAGGCCTGGGCTGGGGCACCGGCCAGCGCCCGCCCCAAGGGCTGCCCAGTTAAGGTGGACCAGTCCTCCGGGGCCTGGGAAGGGTAGGG